AAATTTTCTTAACTTCTTCGTCATTAATTAAAAAACATATTAAACGTTAGATTTTTATACTGATTACACGTCAACGTGTTACAGCAATGGAGGAAAAATAATAGAAAGACGAAGATCGTTGCAATTAAAATATTTACTTATTGTAAATATAAACGGTGGCATAAATATTCCAAAGTAGTATTTCAATTTATTGAAAGAAGAAATTTTATCCTATCGGATGATAACGAAAATAAATACTCATTAGAATTGTAAAACCACATTAAACAATATGCTATTTCCATCGTTCTAATCAGAGTAATAAAGTCATAACGGCCATAGCAGAAGCTTGACATCTTGAACGTAACGTTCGATATCACGCATCGGCAATTAAACCCGATACATTTCCATGATAAATTTCCACAATAATCGTCAACCATCTCTATGAAAAGGAAATGATTACGTATAGTTAATGTTGTTCAAAAATTTGGTTTAAAAAAAAAAAAAAAAAAGAAAAGACAAACAAAAGAAAAAGAAAAACAACAAAAAAATAAAATAAAAAGAACAAAAAGGAAACAATGATAAAGTTTAAATTATCTGACAACGTCGTGGAAAATACATTTAGATAACATGTTTTATAGATCGCGCGATCTGAGATGCAAACATTCGAGACGTTCATGAATAATCAAATCGTGTCTTGACGACAGTAAATATGTCATCATCTTATCGAAAAGTAAATGTATCACGTCTTGTCTCCTGTTGTCTTCCTCGTATGGTGAATCCGTGTTCTAGGGTATAGGGAGACAGTCTAAAAGTCATTGACGGTACACGCAACACGTGTTTTTACAACCCTGTACGCCTAACGAGAGGTCCGACGATCGAAAAATGTCCGACTCGAAGGATCCTGAGAAACAAGAATACCGACAAATAACAGTGTGGCCACAGTGGTTAGCGGCATGCGCTAGTAAATAACTTTTTTTGTTTATTATTCGATTATACATAATACCCATTCTCAATAATTATTTTTCTAATATACGTACATTATCGACAGTCAGTTTGGCTCCGATCGTAAGTGGCCTGGCAAATGGTTGGGCATCACCATATTTGGCCCAATTGACATCAACGACATCTGACATGCCTATTAGATTAACGGATAACGAAGCATCCTGGATAGCGTCTCTTTTAAATCTTGGAAGACTTTTCGGAGCTCTAATCGGTTCGATAATTCAAGGTAAAAATATGTGTTTTTTTTGAAATTGGAAAAAGGATTCGTTGAGATAAGCCTCATGAACAAAACTTAAAGTATCATTGATTCCCTCAAAAATTTCTATACGAGCCTTATAGCCTTGTGTTAAATAATATCTATCGAATGAAACAATAATGATTCGTCAAGGTACCAAGAAGGAATTTTAGTAAAGTATAATCTGAATCGGTTTACTCAGTTGACTCAACCGATCCTCCATTCTAGCTTAGAAACAGACAGTTGAACGATCGGCGAACACAACAGTTTAAACAAGAATTTATAAGAACAATAAAGCGACCTAAGAACAAGCCAGCCACGACTCAGCAATTATCGAAAAATACGATGTAAGTGGCGTTATATAAAACAAAGAGAATCTAAATTCGAGTTAACTCTTTGGACGGAGCGTAAAGTGAAGGAGAAACAAAAAAAAAAAGAAAGAAAAAGAAAGAAAGAAAAAAAAACATCGATTGAAAAAAAATCGATTATCCTGATGAAAGGACAAGAAGAGTGTTCTGAGTTGTGGTGATCTTGTTCTCAGGATGACATTATCTGTAATGCGTGTGTCACAACATGATCTTCAGAATATGTTGGACGAAAGAAACAGCTTATCATCGGTGGTCTACCATTGGCCTTGAGTTGGGTATTCAGTATATGTACAACGTCAGTTACGTGGCTTTACATATCAAGATTCTGTTCTGGAATTGGATCGGGTATGGTCTGGCTGTCCCTTGCTTTGTACCTAGGAGAGATCGCTAATCCGAAAATACGTGGAGCTCTGGTAATGTATTTTATGTTCATATTTAATTCGTAGAAAATGTTCGATTTATTTTAATATATCGTCCTGGCCTTCGTTCAAATTATACACAAAGAATATTATATTCTATTATTGATTCCAATATTATCCGAATTAATATGAAAATTCATATATACGTATTGGCGTACCTAAATATCGATCAATACTTACTATACGTAATTTTTATAAGAAAGTAAAATAAGCTAAAGCTACTCAACATAATCTTTTCACAAAAGAGAAGATCTTAACCGAGGTCGCGCCTTTAGATATCCATGAACATAAACGCAGCGTCTGTGGGTATGTTCTTGGGCAACGTGATGGGTCCTTATCTGTCCATGGAGATGTTCGCTTACGTGAGCCTCGTACCGAATATCCTCTTCATGGCCCTCGTATCCCTGATACCCGAATCACCGTACCATTACATCCTCCACGGAGATATCGACAAAGCAGAGGCATCTTTGAAGTGGTTCCGACGAGAAGCTGACGTGAAGGCTGAGATGCGAGAGCTTCAGGATTTCGTCGATGGTGCTGAAAGTAGTATTATGATGAAGCTCAAAGCATTCATACTTCCAGGTATATTTTAGTATAAATACCATGAAATTTTATATTGAATATATATATATATATATATATATATATATATATATATATATATAAACCTGATCATAGGATTAAAAGCAGATAATTCTTATAATCGTTTGATCGTAGGTAACTTGAAAAACGCCATGATCTTGTTAGGTCTGAATGTATTAGTACACGGAAGTGGATACGCCATTATCAATGCATATGCCGAGATAATCGTAATTAAATCTGGGATGAATCTTACACCTAGCGTCGTCGTGATGATCTTGGGATTCGCTACTATTATAGCTGGAGCTAGTGCGGTTATTGTAGTAGACAGATTTGGCAGAAGGTCTCTGTTAATGATATCGAGTCTCGGTGTGACCATTTCTCTCGGATTACTGGGTCTACATTTCCACATCATGTCGACTGGCATCAAATCGCAAATCCTCGAGTGGCTACCACTCACTGCTTTACTATGTTACTATATTTTCTTAGCTTGCGGCTTTGTGCCCGTGCCAGGTGCACTTTTAGGAGAAATGTTCCCAGCAGATTTGAAAACATTAGCCTCTCTTCTATTAGGATGTGGAAACGCTTTGTTATCCTTCATTGTAACGAAAACTTTTCAACCATTTCTTGACTTAACCGAAGAGAAAGTCGTTTTCTGGACGTTCGGTCTTATTGTCATGGCCTGTATCCCTTATGTTTACTACTTTATACCAGAAACAAAAGGAAAAAGCCTTCTTGAAATTCAAAAGTCCATTAATAAATAAAACATCAAAGTGTTCCTTTTCAATGTAATTCACTATAGAAAGGATTTACTAAAATAAATAAATAAATATATATATATATATATATATATATATATATATATATAAAGTCAATAATATACATTTCCATAGTTATTAACGATTAATTTAAGAATTAATAATTAAGAATTATTATAATTTACAATATAATGTGATATTTTACTTAAAAACTAAAGACTGTCGCAACACTGACCGTAAATAATAATTATAACGATAATATTAATTCTAAGAAATATAACTATAATGATATTTAATATTACAATCGAATATACTTGTATTATAATTAATTTCTAATCATTTCAAAATTTTCCTCTTCATTTTCTCAACATATACACAATATCATAAATCACGTTAATTTTGGTAACATCTGGTTTTCTCTGGTTATCTTAATCAACATTGAAATGAAAAGAGCGTAAATTTCATTTGCATCTTTTGAAATATTTCTACGATAGCTCTGTCGACAATGAAAAGTGACATTAGTCATACGACAAACGAACGATCGCTTATCACGAAAACTCTTTTTTGCCTAAGAAATGTTATCATGTAGAATTTTTATATTACGCTCAGGTAACGCTATATGAAATTTATTTATTTTTTTTTTTTTTTTTTTTCTTCAAACCAATTCCATACCTTTGTTGAGAATCGTCTTGGATTACTCTTAACACGATTTCACATCCTCCAGTTTTTCTCTTACTTTTAGTCACGATATGTTGTCACGATCATACGACGAAGTATAGCACAAAGACGGTATAATTCAAGCATGAGATAAAAAGAAAAGAGAAAGAGAGAGAGAGAGAGAGAGAGAAAGAGAGAGAGAGAGAGAATACATTATTCCCTTTACATTCTTTCTGGAGTCTTTCGTTAAATATTAATGAACTACAAGTCGAATGGCTGATAACAGTATCGGTACTCTATATCTTATGTTTCTTCACATCAGCTCGTTTAACGAGAGAAAGGAAAAGATAGAGAGAGAGAGAAAAAGAGAAAGAGAGAAAGAGAGAGAGAGAGAGAGAGAGAGAGAACGAAGGGAATAAACAAGTGGTCGAACAGAGTGGAATCATTAATATTGTAAAGTAACACCGATTGATAGGGGGAAAGCACAAAAGCCAGCAGTTCGTTTGTGTACGTTCGCTACCTCTGAGATATCCTGTCATTTTCTTTTCAAGTCTTTTAGAGATTCACGGTACTGATTACAAGCTAGTTTCTCTGTCATCAGTGAGACTATCATCGTTCGTGTATTTCGATATAGATTGACGTAAATTGAAAAAGAAAAAGGAAAAAAATAATAATATATATATATATATATATATATATATATATATATATATATATGTATTAATATATCTATATATAAAAATTCAAAGGATCGTAATGAAAAGGCAAACGCTCGAACGTAATACGATAGATTATTACATACTTCCCAATAAGATTTTATGTAATATCGTTGGAATATGGCCGATCGAGGAGAAAAAAAGTATAATGATGAAAAAGTCCTTCGCTTACTTTCGCGTGTTCTTTGCTTTGACAGCTGTCTGCAGTGTTCTCGTGCCAGAGATTTTAGCGATAATAATGAATTGGGGAGATATAGAAGTATTGACAGGTAAGTTGGATTGAACTTTTTGAATGAGTTAACTTTAAACAATATGAAAGTAAATCAATTAATATGCATGTGTATGTACATACATATATACATATATATATATATATATATATGTGTACATAGATAAGATTGGAATAATAATTTCCTACTTTACTAGGTGTAGGTTGCGTATCTACGACAGTCGGTCAGCTACTGTTCAAAATGATTTACTTATTGGCCAGAAGAAAAATATCATTGAAATTGTACGAGGATATAAGGAATTGTTGGTACATGTCCAATGATACGAATAATAGAAAATGCTACGAGGATCTAGCTGGCAAAGCTAGAATATTAACAATGGGCTTCCTTTTTTCTGGTATATGCAACGTTACGACATTCACAATCGTGGCCGTGATAATTCGGATTAAAGAGGGTCACTCGAAAGGCAACCAAACCGAAATGATTTATCATATGCCGTTCGAAGTATGGTAATAAAAATAATCTTGATCTATTAAAAAAAAAAAAGAAAAAAAAAATGATTTTCCTTCTCTCGACCAATGAAATTTATTCTTGTCTCGTTTCCTTTCAACGATCTCTATCTGTGTCAAGAAATATTATTATTATTATTATCATATAGTTATTATTATTGTTGATTATATGTAAATATTTAGATATGTCGTAATATTTACAAATCCAGGTACGGACCAAAAGCTTTACAGTCTCCCAGCTTTGAGATTGTCTTTATATGTCAGGTATTGGCATCGGTTATCTGTTGTGCCGGAATTATCGGTTTGGACGCTACTATGATGACCTTGATATTACATATATGCGGTCAATTCAAATTAATTCAAGCATGGTTCCGCAGTATTGGAAGGAATGTCGGTCAAGCTTTGATAAAGGACAATACGATTTCCGTCAAGCTAAAATGTCAGATAAAGAAAAGCATTGAGCATCACCAACGAATGATAATGTAAAGAGAAAAATGAATTGTTGTACATATATATATACATATATATATATATATAATGTACACAATTTACGCTGTTGCATTTGAAAAATATGAAAACAAAAGAAAAAAAAAAAAAAAGGACAAAAAGTAATTTTTTTTTTTTTAAATTCAAAGAAACATTCTCGATTATTCGTTTGTTAATTTCTTATTCGCAGTGTGGTTAAAGAAACGAACGATTTAATAAGTCCCATAATATTTGTACAACTTTTAACGAGCGGATTGGAAATTTGTTTGAGCGGTTATTCCGTAATGTACGGTGCTTCTGGGCTAGATTTAATAAAATTCATTTCTTATCTATCCTCGATGATGATACAATTGTTAATTTGGTGTTGGCCCGCCGAATTACTTGTTCAAGAGAGCATTAAAATAGCAGATTCGATTTATTTCGACATACCTTGGTATAATTTACCAACGACGTATCGGAAGGACCTCTGTCTGATTATTATCAGAGCACAAGGTTATTGTTGTGTAAACGCGGCAATATTTAAAGTTTTATCCCTTCAAACTCTTACTAAGGTATTTACTTACGTTTTTTATTTTATTCTGATTTCTATTTATTTATTTATTTTTATTTATTTATTTTTTTATTTTTTTCTTCAAACGGAAATCGAACACTTTCGATTTCTTTTGTTTTTCTTGTTTTTTTGTTTTCATCTCTCTCTCTCTCTCTCTCTCCCTCTCTCTCTCTTTTAAATAAATAAAAAAGTATTCCATTAGAAATATTTATAAACGTTCTTCTAGGTCTTCAATACGGCAGCTTCTTACTTCACACTTTTGAAAGAAATGTAGCCAATATAAATGCATTTATTTAATGTTTAAAAATAAAATTAATATTGTTCGTTGTAATTATGTAATTATTATTATTGTTCCTTGGTATCGATTTTGAAGACATTTGAAATATGAATTATTCTCTCTTATGTTATTCGAATTTGATCGTCGTGTCAGGGAAAAAGTTTCATTGTACATAACCTAACAAAAGTTTGTTCCCGTCTTTTTTGATCCAGTACACGATATCGTAATATATTACAAATACATGTCGTCGATTAATGAAATTTTACAACGTTTGATTAATTACAGAACATTGAATAACATCTTCCATCGTATGTATAGTTTTATTATGATATAACAATGTAAGAAAAGAAAAGAAAAAGAGGATAAAAAAAAAAAAGGGAGAAAAGTTTTGCAAAGTGTTGAACCTTTACAATTAGAACATAACAAATTGTTTGAGATCTCTTTTTTAATATTTACCGCCATCGTGAGATCTACTTAATTGTAGATATTTACTAAAATTATCTTAATATATTTTTGATTTTTCTATTTTAATGGTGGTAACACTGACGTTTGACGTTTATCTCTCTTTTATCCGACTTCAAAGATATTTTTGTATTTTAATCGAAGAAAGTCACAATCTTATAAATTCGTTTAAACGAATTAATTAATATCTTTAATTGAATTATTTTCCAATAGAATATACAAAACGAAGAATTAACGATAATAGAAAATTTTGTTCAATATATAACGATTACTCAATGAAACGAACGAAAAGAATTAATACTGTTGATAATAAAATTAATCAGAATGAAAGTGATGTTTGTGAAACAGCTATGGTTACGAAAACGGAACAGGTAATGTTCTTTAATTTTTCAATTAATATTATTAATATTATTTTCAATGATATTATCGATGATATTATTTTCGATTACTTTTGTATTTATTTATAATTTCTTATAATAATTTGTAGAATTTTGTCGAGGTACTTCAACCTAAGGATAAGGAAATTAAACGGTCTAAAATAAATTTGAAAGTATTGCGAAATGAAAATGATAAATCTTTAAATACGATTAAATTAAAGGATTTTGAGGGTAATCGAATTATGAAAATTAAATAATTAAAACTTTCTCTTTGTACTCATAAAAAAAAGAAAAAAAAAAAAAAAAAAAAAAAAGAAAAATCTTTATTCTTCTAAAATCTATTCTATCTTAGGAAAGAAAGAAATCGTAGAAATATCACATACGGATAATAAAAATGTTACAAGGAAAAAAATAAGAGCAATAGTGGATTTGAAAATGATGAAAGAGGAATTAAAACAATTAGAGGATCCACCTGTTACACCTTGGGAAAAAGAAATATCTTCGTCTCGGCTTCCATTTGAATTTTTTGATACACCTTGCGAACAACTTGCTCAACATCTTTTAGGTAATTAATTTAATTTATAAAAACACATTTTTAAAATATATGTATATTAGGTTGGAAACTATGAAACGGACGTGTTTTTGTTTAATTATTTATTTTCATTCAACGCCCGTTTCATAGTTTCCAACCTAATATTTTATTTTTATATAATAATAGGAAAAGTACTTGTTCGTCGCTTAGAAAATGGGACGATATTAAAAGGTAGAATTGTAGAAACTGAAAGTTATTTAGGAGCAATTGATAAAGCTTCTCATTCTTATCAAAATAAAATTACACCACGTAATATACCAATGTATATGTCACCTGGCACAATTTATATATATATGACTTATGGGATGTACTATTGTTTCAACATATCAAGTCAAGGTGAGTTAATAATTATTAATATAAATTATTACTTTGAAAAACAATTTTAAATAAATATTTAGAATCCGATGGTTATGTATTAATCAAAGCTGTGGAACCTTTACTTGGTCTTGATTATATGGAATTACTAAGAAATATGCATGTTAAAGAAAATAAAAAGGAAAAAGAAATTGTAAAGAATGTTAAACAAATTAAAACGACCGATCTTTGCAATAATTCATTTAAAATTTGTACTGCATTTGTTATTGATGAAGATGAATTCAATCAAAAATATATCTATAATTGTAATAATTTATGGATAGAACATGATTCATGTATAAAATCTACTACTATTGTAACGGTACCACCTGTACATATTGAAAGTTTGTCAGAGAAACAACCAATTAAATTATCTCGTTATTATATATTAGGAAATCCTAATGTTAGCGAATATAATAGAGACAACGAAGCTAATACATATACCATATAATTATTGATAATAATTTTTGATATTCCATCAAAAAGAATATCTTGGTAAGATTTTAGGTGATGGCAGTGCTGTCTTGATAAGAGCTCTTGATCCTTTAGAAGGCACTGAGTACATGAGTAATCAGCGAATCTTGAAAAAAAAATCAAATATGTCTAAAGGAAATATTAAAGACTTGAAAGTACATGAATTGTGTAATGGGCCTTCAAAACTTTGTATGTCTTTCCAATTGCATAAAAGTCATAATAAGTATTCACTGTGTACATGGAAAGGTCTTTGGATAGAAGATGATTCATTTCAAGAAAAAATCAAAATTGTTAAGTGCGCAAGAATAGGTATCGATAGCTGTGGTCCTGAATGGTCGAACAAACCCTTACGTTATTATATTTATGGAAATAAATCTGTTAGTAAACGTAATAAAAAAGCAGAAGCATTTATAACAAATACTTAGAAGACTAATTTTAATAATATGTGAAAAATTTGAAATTAATATCACTTAAATATAAGATTTTTATCTCTTTGCATTCTTTCATGTTAAAAATTATAATACCTGCATTAAGTACAGAGGTAGACTTTTATACATTTATACAATTTATTCCTGGCCAAAAAAAAAAAAAACAAAAAAAAAATATACGCAGTATACAAATAAATTGCAAATCGGGTTTAAAAACATGTAGTATTTCATTACTCTTCTCTCATAAATATATCTTCTTTATAAATAAAATGCATTAAAAATATTTACCTATTTCAGTGTACAAATTACGAATAGATAATAATATTTAAACAAGGCGCACATCACCTTTATATATTTTACTAGACATATTATTACCTTCATTGCATTTATGCCCATTCTCTCATTACTCTTTCGTAATCTTCTTCTTCTATAAATGGCTTATCAATTGATCTGAAATATAATATTTTACAAATTTACCGGATCCTAATTTAAAAAAAAAAAAAAAAAAAAAAAAAAAAAAAAAAAAAAAAAAAAAAAAACGAGCAATAATAAATATACTATAATTAATAAAGGAACAACTTACTCTATCATAAGTTCTCCACAGTATAAACATTCTGAAGCTACCAATTCGTCTATATCAGCTTTAATTTGATCTTTAATTGATAGAGATACCATTCCAATTGATGTTGTATCTTCAGATTTATTTGAAATGGCTGTAAGTTGACGTTGAAGATCGGCAAGTTTTGTTCGTTGATCCATTGATAACATGGGTGTTAATGCGGCAACAAGACAGTCACTGTGAAATCTATGTCCACAAGGAAATACATAAAAAGGCCTTAATAAAAGTTGAATATCACAAGAATTACATGTATCTCTTGCATCTACAAAAGTGCACCTATAAAATTAATTACAGTTATATATTTACATTTATAATATTTCATTTTTCATCTTATAATATTATATTGATATGTAAACCTAAACGTACCTCGTTCTAAAAGCTTGTATATCCTTTCTAATAACTTCAGCTGATTTTGTTGCCTCTTCCATTTCTTCTTTGAGATCTTGAATATGTCGATTATAATCCTATTTGCATAATAGAAATAAAAAAAATAACGCATGTCCTTACCAATTACAATTCTATACATTAAAGTTTTTACCTGTAAGGATTTACAAATGGCATCTTTAAAATGATCTATTGTAACGAAGTCCGAAAAGAATGGTAAAATATCTTCTATCCTAACTAAATCGCATTGTTGTAAAAATTCCATCACTTGTTGTATATCATTCTTTTCACGCACTACGTGTTCAGCTGAAAAAAAAAAAAAAAAAAAAAAAAAAAAAAAGATGAAATAAGAATAAAAAAATATTCATTTAAAATACAACACAACAAAAGATTAGAAACAATTTATATGTATTACCTATTTTTAACCATAATTTTTTACGTAAAGTATCATCACGTTCAGAGGGCATAGATGCAATTTGTTTAGCAAGATCAACTTTAATTGTTAATGCCAAATCTACTGCTGTTGTCCACAAACCAAGCAAAGCCGATAATTGTACACATGCCTCTGTTAAACCAGCCTCCTGACACAATCTTAAGGCATAATGTACATCATAATGTACCATACTTATATATTGGCCTTAAAAAAAAAGAAAAAAAAATATGATTATATTGAGAGTAAAGAGTATGAAAGATAAATAATATTTATACATGATATAATATATACCTTGTGAGCTAATGTAACGCATGACTTCTTCCTCTTTATAACGTGCGTACAGTGAAAGTAAAAAATTATGAATTGCTTGTTCCTGGCAACTTTGTTTGTATACGCAAAATTCTAAATATCTGATAATTTCTTTAGCCTAGACACAATGTAAGAAAAATATATTAATATAATATAAAAACCTCTTCATAGTTCCATAAAATATAATTTAGATAATTTTAAAGCTTCTTACGTGTTTTTCATCACAGTTACAAGATACTAAAGCTGGAAGCAATTTTGATGGCTTCAATAAAGATCCTTGTGAAATTAAAGCAGTCACAGTAGGACGTGGCAATTCTTGTAACAAAGTACCAGAAAATTGATAAAATAAATCTTTATTGGTTTGACTTTTTAATACTTCAAGGGCTTCTAAATAATTATTTTTATACAAATGTTGTCTTATTACTTCCTCGTAATTACTATGCATTATCGTTAAACGCATTAGATTTTCTTTATCCCCATGACTTGACATTAATTCATAAATTGTTTTACGATTTCTCTTTATACACTCCTGTAAAAAAAAAAAAAGAAAGAACAGATTAAGAATTTTTCATAGAAATATTATATAGATAACTATTTATTTTAACTAATTTAAAAAAAAGAAAAAAAAAAATACATACCTCAACTTTTTGCATAGCAAGAAAACTATCAAATTGTTTTTGCAATGCTATATACTGTGGATTATGAATATATGAGCTATCATTGCTTCTTACTTCTCCCATTTGACTCATAAATAATTCTATTACCCATACAACAATCATTGTTATTTGAGTCTTATCCTGAGATTTCAAACCGTCGAGTTTCTAAAATATTATGAAAGATAAATTATTAATAAATTCGTATATCTATTTATTATATAAAATAATATAACAATAATTAAAACAAACAAAAATAAGAAATGAGATGAAATTTATTATTACCTTTTTCAAAAATATTTTCAATGCTTCTATCTGCCACTCCTGAAGAAATTTCAATGAAATTTCTTCAAACGATGAATGAGTGTCCGCATATATTAAAGCACTTTCCTCATATCTAAAAACAAGATGATAACATTAATATGCGAATATTAGTAAATAAATAAGAAAAGAAAATTTGTGTTCAATTTACTGTTGATTTTTAAATAACATTTCAGCTTGTTTCACAAGTACTTGATCAATGTATGCAGGATTATCTTTGCAATATTGTTTAGCTAGTTCAAATTCTCCTTTGTCTAGATAAACCTATGAAAAATATCATCGCTATATAGATACAATCGAGATAGATATATACGATCTAATAATTATTATATATTAATAGAGAAAGACTTATACCTGCCAAACATTTCTATCTTCTTTAGTTACTTTATATTTAAAGACTGCTCTTTCACTATAAGCCCAGACACTACGATTTATCGGATCTTTCACAATATTGAGTAATTTTTCAACTGTCTAGATTGAAAAATATATTATTAAAATAAAAGATAATATTAAATGATACAAAATATAATCCATATATTAATAGTATATACATCGTTATATATGTCTTCAAAAATAAGATCTTGATTTAATAACGATATGCCCTTCACACGATCTGGATAAAGTAACAAAGCATGAAATTCCGTTAATACGAAAGAAAGTGGTGCGGTATAAGTATGAGATTTGCTATTTCCCATAAGACTTGCTTCTGGACATGTTATCATCTGTTGCTTTGTCAATGCACTTTTTGGGTCTGATAAGTTTGGGTCTATCTAGTATGGAAAAAAAAAAAAAAAGAAAAGAAAATAAAAATAAAAGAATATGTTTCATTTTTTATATTATATAATTTATCAATTTGTTAACGTGAAGTACTTACATGTGCATGCAATATACCAGTCTCAGTCAACCAACCGAATGATTTTGGTAATGCACCAAGCGATGGATAGAAAAATTGTAATTTGGAGTAAGTTAAAACACTTACTACTTCCACAAAACTTTCTACACAATTGAAGAATTATTATTTAATTAGATACACATAAAAAAAAAATCTCGACATCTACTTACCTTGTACATTTAAATATTTATTAAATACTTGTTGCAATAATGGCTTTTCATCAGGATTTTGTACTGATCCAATGAATTGATAAATACGCATAATTGTAGTTACAATAATCATGTATTTATCAGAGTTAGGTATCTTATGAAATTCTAAACCAGTAATTGGAGGTTTACTATTCTTTCCTATATCAAATACCTGAAGAAATAAAAGTTTAATATTAAAATATGTTATTATTTTTATCAATATCAAATATAATTATTATAGCTTTGATGAATGAATACATCATGTACATGCTTTTTTAAGACATTTCCAACTTACCAATCCTTCTACCTCCTTAGCACCATAAAGAGGTAAATAGTTAGGAAGCTTTGGAAATAATGAATTATGGAATAAAAAAAGCTAACGCACTATAACATTATGTTAATCTATTGTAATACTAATGACATAATAAGAGAAAAAAAAATTAAATAAAGTTATCCCAATTTACCTGTCGCCAATACTGTTCCAAGCTTGTGTTAAATATTTTATCACCATCGCTAATTTCTGTTTCAAAAATTAAACCTTTTGAAGTACCAAGAAGAATAGGTCCTGTTACTGTTTCTGAAGTATTCGAAAAGTTCCATCCAACAGCAGTAATTTCATGGCCTTTGAACTTACCAGCCTAAAGATAAATTGATGAAAACATTATGTATTATATCAAATTATTAACATACAATGATGTAATTAACTTTTATCTGATCATACTTGTTTTAATTTGGTTGTCTTCCTGTGTAAATATAATAATTCTGATGGAGGATTATCTCCATTCTTTGGAGTCAATGTTATTAACAAATGATAACCTAATGGATCCAAAAATAGATTTGACATCTTCATGCCTACTGCATATTTCGAAATGTCAATTTCTATAATTAAAAGGAATTTTTTAGATGTATTTAAAATAAAATTATACAATTATATATATATATATATATATATATATATATATATTCTTATAAATAATACCTTCTACTTTGTCGGGTTGTTTCATATCGATACGAAGAAGAACATTATTAGCCATAGCTATTATAATTAAATTACTACTGACTACAAGGTGAATAATTTTATCAGAAGGTGAAAAGTTGATTTTTTGTTTTGTGAATATTGGACCATCATCTTGTAATTTCATTTGAATAAAGCCAGCTGTGCTCTGTAAATAATTATTTATAAATATGAAAATATATTAAATTTAGATAATTAAATAGATCCAACTTACAATATCTGTTCGAATCGGTGGAGGAACTACTTGTTTGGATCTTTGAGATGCTTGCTCATATTGATCAAACATCGAAGTCATTTTGCTAAATAATAATCCTAAATAGGGTAATAATAAAATTAATATATATATTGTGTTAATGTATAGGTTTATCACTCATTCATTGATCACACAATTACACTATTATGAACTAATTGTTTTCCCATAACAATTATGAGCCATGTAAATTTATACTAATTCACGATTATAAGCTATCTTTGACTTTATTTATTGTTGTAATATATAAAATTGCACTATCCATTTTGATGCACAAAATTGTACCATTCGCATGACAAAGAATAATATATAAACGACGAAAGTTAAAAATTGGTAATATTAATACGCATTACGTTCGATTGATACGGTTGGTAACAGTGATTAAAGGGTCCTCCTCTTCTTATCTACAGATACTTTTCTATCTTAGTCATCTGATCTTCAAATGTGAACGCGTGAGAAAAATAGTCTATGGTTTGTCTTACAACGTGTTTGAGGAATTTCGTGTCTTGTTTAAAAATTATAAAATAAAACATATAAAAATGTCGGATATAAATATGACGGAAAGTGAAGACGATCCAGTGGTTAAAGAGGTAAATTCAATACTTATTCTTTATAAATGATAATTAAATGTCCTATCAAAAGTTTATTATATTAAGGTTACACGTTTATAACATAATTGAAGGTTTCTTTTAATAAAATAAAATTTTAAAAATTAAAAAAATAAAATAAACCAAACGCAAATTTCTTATATTGTAGAAAAGTATCAAAAAAAAAAAAAAAAAATAATATAACGAATTAAAAAAAAAACGATTAACCTAAAAATATCCTTTGTGTAATCATATTCTTCTCCTCTTGTGTGATAATATTCTTATCATATTAACTTCAAACTATTCAAGATTTCATAGCTTAATTATATATATATATATATTGAATATTTTAGATTCCTGTATTTTTATCTAAAACTCTTGAAAATAAATTATTTATTTTCCAATATCCTATTCGTCCTGCTCGAGATGGATATGACAATGCAACATTTTTGAAAACTTCAATAAAACCAGAAAATCAAGAGGTCAGAATAGAAGTAGCTGTTGATACGTACAGCATTAACTATGATAAAATGAAAGGAAGGCAAATTGCCATTAATGCCGATGGTAATTCTAAAACTGAACAAGAAGACGATGAAAAAGTATTTGATAGGTATGTATAGAATTTATGATATGAAAAAAAATATATATATATATAAATATAACTAAAATATAACTTGGATTATATATATATATATATATATATGATAGATTTATTTGAATATTTTCATTTTTTGATTTTAAATAAGCAATTACTTTTAGTGATCTAATGGACAAAACAGTCCTGCATTCTTCTCGTGCATTACCAGAATGTACAAATTATGCAGCTGCAGTTTATCAAGACGGTGAATTACATATCACTCCACTGAAAGGTATTATACAATTAAGGCCACAATTTAATTACCTTGATAAAAGTGATAAACGTGCTAGGGAGGAAGCTAAAACTATAGGCGAAGGTATATACAAATATTTAATTTTTATTTATTCATTCAATGTATATTAATATATGTTATTTAATAGAATATTTATATTACATATATATATATATATATTACTAATACAGATGTTGAAGAAGAAGATGAAGGTCCTAAACAAGTAAATGTGACTTTTGATAGACAAACACCAGATTTTCTTAAAAAAATGCAAGAACAATCTTTTCAACATTTTTCCAAAAAGAGTTCAGAAGAAAAATGGATACATACAAACTATGCTCCTGTTAATAGTACACAATCTGAAGTTAATATAATTATTGATTATTTTTTTCTATTTATATATAACACTAAACACTTATAATATTTCTTTTTTTCCTTTTACAGCTGACACGTTTGGAAATGTTTTGTTCATCTACTGAGGAAACTATAAATGCATTAAATTTAACAAATAAACAGTATTTAGATATGTTAGCACCACCTATCAATCAAGAACAGTATTCAAAAATTGAAATCTCAAATCATATTACATCTCTTAATTATATTAGAACATTACCACTTCTCGATCAAGTCAGGATTCTTATGAAAGATGGTATGGTAAAAAAAAAAAAAAAAAAAAAAAAAATCAAAAACAATTCTATATAATCTAATTAATTTCTAATAATTATCTCCAATGAATTATTATTTCCAGCAAAGGTGATATCATTTACTCAGCTACGATTAATTTTATCATCAGAGCACGATACTGCAGCTGTATTGAAATATTTACAGCAAGTAGCTGTTTTAGTGCAAGGGAATTGGGTTGTAAATAGTGAACTTATTTATATTAAAGATAGTGTATCATCTCAAAATGGTATACCAGCAGAACTCATGTGCAGAGCTAGAGATTATATCGTAAGTATCATAGTAATTATTTTAAATAAAAAAAAAAATATATATATATATATACATATATTATATTCTAGTTATTATCATTCACTGAACAACAATTTCTTGATCGGAGGGCCATATCTACTGTTATCAAACTTCCATCAGAGGAAATAAAAGAGATATTTATAAATTTAGCAATACATATACCAAAAAAAGGATGGCAATTGATTGTACCAACGAATAAAGAATTTCCCGAAAAGTAATAATTTTCATTTAAAAAAAAAATATAATTTTTCAAAATTGCAATAAAATTATTATTATATTATTATTCGTATATAGATATCCGGAAATAGCACAAAGGCAAGAGATGTTCTGGGAGGCGAAAAGAAAATATTTACGCGAGACATTAGAACCACAAAATCAAGTACCGCAACGTCAAAGGAGAAGATCTAATAGAGAATCCGTCGGTTCTGAAAATGAAGAAAGAAATGTTGGCCGGGGAAAAAAATTGAGGGATTCGTCGATTTCGGACGATAGTGCATCAGAAACGGTTAAACATAAGAAAACGAGTAGATCTAGAAAAATTTCTGAAACAACATGACCAAAACCATCGAATGATTAGGATACATATAAATCTATAATAGCGTTTATAGGTATTGTTATTATATCCAAAATAATGAATTATCGCATATGTACAATTATTAAGCGTTTGTTTAATACACTGCCGTACGATGAGACCGTCTCCGTGATATAGTGATTGTTAATATCGTTGCTTCTCACCAGGCGAATTCGGGTTCGATATTCGACACTGTCCTTTGAGGGATTTTTTTCAGGAAACAATAAATCTGTAACAGAGATTAATCCAATCTCATGAGAACAATTAAATAGAGAAGTTATTTGATACAAGATATGTAACAAAATCTGGTCACGAAAATGAAGTAATACGTTGATCATGTTTTTTTCATCGGAACTACAGGCCCACGGGACTGGCTGGCTAGTTAAACACTTCGTAGGCCTAAGTCCCAATGTAAATTATCGTCCCAGGAAAAAGAAAAACCTGCCGTACGGTAAATAAATTAAGAAAAATATTCAAATGACATTAAAAGAAATAAATGATGTGAAGTAACATTTTTATCGTCACGTATATACAATACAAATAATAACAATTTGATTGCATTCGATGAAATGATTTATCATGTTCATAAATATTGCGTTTTTATTCCATTAAAAATATTTTTTAAGAACGAATGATTTATTTATTAATCGTTAATTATATGTGTTTATAATTTGTTAAACATTTATATTAAGTTTTATATTACATTGTAAACACTTTCCTTGAATGTAATTGTAATTAAGCATATACATGAAATTGATAACTAAAAATAAGAAATATTATCACTCGATATTTTTCTATCTAATGCAATTCTTTTTGTATTGCTATATAAAAAATTTAGTAAAAACCTTATGAATAAGAAGATTAAGAATTAATTAATGTACATATAACTAAATCTATATAAATTTAACTATTACTTAAGAGATACCGAAAAAAAAAAGATATATATATATATATATATATATATATATATATATACTTTTTTATTTTTTAACGTTGTTTACTTCTGACTGATTTTTCGTTATATTGCGTAATTAATGTTTACACGTAAAAAAATAAAAAATAGAATACAATCTAAACAACAATAAAAAGTAATAGAATATGTATAAAAAGAACTTCTTAAACTCACAAGTTTAAGAATATTATTCTTAAAATACATATATATATATATACACACATATGTATCTATTACTGTGTATATATTTAACGATGTACATACATACATATATATATATATATGTGATTATATTATAATTTATCCGAATTATCTTTTTTTTATATTTACAAAATATGTTTTATTTATTATGGAAAATATATAACTATATATGAAAAAGAAAAGAAAAGAAAAGAAAAAAAAAGGAAAAGAAAAAAGAAAGAAAATGTAAAAATATTACTTTACTTCAAATACACACGGACAGGTTTCTCTTTTTTATCCACGAAACTCGTATTCATGTTTTTTTTTTTTGTAATCGCTTGGAATTTTTTATGTTTATATTATGTATATCCCAATAACGGTTTCGTTATAGCCATTAAAAAAAAAAAAAAAAAAAAAAAAAAAGAAAAAAAAAAAGAAAAAAAAAGCAATACTGTATACACGTACGTTCACTGCTAACTCCGGAGATAATTTTCTTTCCCCTTTACGATTAGGAAGGCATTTCCTGTAGAGTTACGTTTGCCATTACCAGAAACGTAAATGGATAGGCAGTAGCGAGAATATCTCATTACATACCAGGTGTGGTACTGTTCAGCCATAAAGTTATTTGTAATATATTATCAAGTTTAAACAAATTTAATTTACAAAAGAAAAATCATTTGGATTTTGTTATAATAATAATTGTTTTAATTTGTTAAAATCGTATGTATATATTTATCCTTGTCTTTGCAAATTTTATATAAAATATAAAAATTTTTTTTTTTTTTACAAAACTACTGTACCAACAATTAATCTTGTATTTACATAGTCATGTATATACATTTATAGATTATAGTCACGCATATTATAAAACTATGTATATATAAGAAATGTACTCGTAAGTAAAACAAGTAAATCAATATATATATATATATATATATATATATATATATATATATATATATATTTATAATATCATTATTGATATTATCGAAGTTACAAAATAGAAATTATTTAATCGTACTGAGCAAAGGCGATTATATAATACTAACATGTTTTTCATATATTTAATGAGTTCGTAGTAACCAGAAAATATGAGTTTTTCCGCATAACAAGTTCGTCGAAAGAAAAATCATTGGAATTTATTTCGTCGCGTTAGTAAATTGAAATATGTTAATAACAAGTTCTTCGGTTAAAAGTAATTAAATTCATTATTTTTATATATTTGGTATACACACAGTTCTCATAGCTAGAACGTTATATTAAAATATTGCGTAGAGAAGATGATTGCGAAGAAAAACGACAGAGACGAGATTAACAAATGACAAATAACAAGGTTTCAAAATAATTGTTATGTTTGAAAAATGGCGGGATGAAGTTAACCATTGCTATGTCACGTGATCGCGTAAGAATATTAACCAACTGAATAGTTGTTGAAGGTCTCTCAAATAAGATCAGTAGAAGTGTTCTCTAATGGATTATTATTTTCTCTTTTTGCATAAATGCAAAATCATATAAATTATCGTCGTATAAATGAAACAAATGTAAAATTGATAAAATTTTAATTTAAAAATGATTATTAATTTAGCAAAATGGCGGATATAAATTTAATTCGTCGTAGGTTACGTGAGTAAAGAAAATTCTTTACAATTATCAATCGTCGTTGATGATTTCACGAATAGGATCACGATGAGATTTCCAAAGGTATTATTATTTTCTCTTTGAAATAATAAAATATATAATAATTTGTGAACGAAAAAAAAAAAAAAGAAAAGAAAAATTGTAAAATTGACTTTGATTTAGAAATTTAAACGATTGAAATTTGCCGCGAAGAAAGAAGAAATATGGCGGGAAAATTTCGAATTGATTCGAGTCTAAGAACAATCTATAATCGTCCTTGGATAACGTCCTTTCTTTCTCGGCCGAAGGATTACCTTCCATTTTCTTTCTCTGTCTCTCTCTCTCTATTTTTCTTTCTTTCTTTCTCTCTCTTTTGGTATTTTCCTCTTTACGCTTGATTTGCGTAGCGCAGGGGCGTAACCTTCTGAACGTACGGAACTTTCTCTTATGAGTCCGAACGTCGGTGAAAGTGTTTCTTACGCGTTCGCGCGTTTACATAGGACGTATAGACAAGGCAACCAAATGTTTATTTCTTTCTACGTGAACCACACCTCCTCTTAGTGAATTGTAACGAGTAGACGAGGAGGAAATGTTTCAAAGGAGTCCCTGACCTCCGAAGAATATGGGATAAATAATGAACGAATATTAAATTTCGTTCACGTTAAAAAGGAAATCTATAATAGGAGAATGAGAGAGAGAGAGAGAGAGAGATAGATCATTTATCTTTTTTAATTTCTTATGTTTTCTTTTTTCTTTTGTCTTTCTCAGACAAATGAAAATATTTGTTTTAAATTGAAAAATATCAAGGGGCGATTTCACTTTTGTCTTTTTATCGTCTTAAGATCGTATCGCGTGCAAATGAAAATTTCATAAGTTAATTTCATGAAAAATTGTTCCGTTTGTATTCGACCGTCTCGATCGATATCTATCTATTTATCTATCTTTAAAAGAAAGTCATTCGAAGGGAAATAAAAATATATAACAGCGTGCATAAATAAAGGATCTCTCGGGCATTTCTTATTAATTAAAATTAATTACAAATGTTATAAGAGAGTAATAATTCTTCCGATAATTTTTTAGTCAAGAAGAAAGGATAAATGTAATTTTCTTAATAATTCTTGTAAACTTTTAATTTAGCGAATTGTTTCAATGGAATTGATCATCTTAGAGATTGGCAACAACTAGATAGATACTAATATGATCTCTGCAAGAAGGACGACGACCTATTTACTCTCAAACACGATGCAGCATAGAGAAAAAATGAGTACACAAGAAGGGTTTGGATTGACATTATGATGATTGGATTTATTTTTCAATGCGAATAAATCTTTTCTTTTTTATTTTTTTTTTCTTTTTTTTGTTTTTTTATACGCGCGCTTGTGTATGCATATATAAATCCTTGAAAACGCATAGAATAATTCGTTTAGCGCTCGTTAACGATTATTTATATTCGTTATCAATACGATATAAAACCTAATTAAATACAGCTTTGTAATTGAGATTTTCCTTTTTTTTTTTTCTTTTTTTTTCTTTTTTTTATTTTTCCTTCATTATTCACTTCTTAATTAAACATTATTAACAATTTAACGAATCAATTAAGAAGAATTTTTCTTGAACTTTTTTAACATCATCATTCAGATAATGAAAAAAGATATATATATATATATATATATATATATATGTGTGTGTGTGTGTGTGTGTAAATAAAAAATAATAATTAAATAAAAAAGAAACCCAAAAAAAGGAAAGAAAATAAGAAAAGGAAAATCGTGTCAGCGAGGCCGAGATTGGAGACCATTTAGAAAACTAAATCGTAAGAGTTTATCGACGTGTAAAATCACGATTCGCTGATCCGTAAATCGAATGAACGAACGAACGAACGAACGAAAAGGAAAATTACAGATCCGATGCGATACTTTCGATCTGTAATTTTTTTTTCTTTTTTTTTTTTTTTTCATTCTCTCTCTCGATCTTCACCCAGATCGAAGAGTAGATCGTTCATCTTCCTCCCTCGCCGACCTCTCTCCCCACTCACTCCGCTCATTCTCCACTTTTCACTCGTCGACGAATCGAACGCACCGCTTAGCACGTAATTTATTGAAATCGTATGGAATCGGATCGTGTATTTACTTTCTTTTGATTCAAACTGCGAGGGTCATTGTTTTCACCGTTCCTTTATAAAAAAAAAAAAATCCTACCAATTATTTACATATCTCTTTTTCCCCCCGAAAACAATGAGAGATTATATCTTCTCTCTGTATACCAATCGATGAAAAGTCGATAAGAAACCGCGAGATGATACGAATCTGATAATAACGATCCGATGAAAAAAAAAAAAAAAGAAAAAAAAAATATGTCAATGGGCCATCAAAATTGGTTCACACTTTACTCCTTGAGTATAATTCAATTTCTAATGAAATATATTTGTAATACAATCAAATATTGATATTGACGTATGTATCGTATTTATACGAATTTATAATATATCGAATCAAAGAAAATATTTTTTTTCTTTTTCTTTTTTTTTTTTTTTCTTTTAATCAGTTTTATAAGTCTTTATAATTATGATTAGCTTATGGTTTAGATTGAAAGTGATTCATTAAATGTTACATAATAGCAAAATAATGATTTATAGAATATAATATTACTGCATAGATTTGTAAAACTAATTAAAAAAAGAAAAAAAGAAAAAAGAAAAAAGAAGGATAAAAGAAAATAAAAAAGCAACAATATCATATAACGGGTAGTTTATATTTATGATTTAATGTTTAACTTATGATTTAATGTTTAAATTCTGTAATGATTAATGTTAAATCTTTCATAAGACTAAAATTTTAATATTTAAATTTATAATATCGTAATCAGAAAAAAAAGAAAAAAAAAAACAATTATCTTTTTGTCGCCTCATGGATCTCAACTTAAACCTCTTCAGTTCAGTTAATACATAAGAGAGAGAGAGAGAAAGAAAAAGAAAAAGAAAATTTCTAATAAATTTCAATGTACTAAGATATATTATATGATCAGTATAATATGGAACGTGCCGACGAGTAACACTGTTGAAACTCACCGAGCTTATTGCCCAGAGGTAGAATTTCATTTTTGACGTCTCTTACCGATGTCGAAACACGTTCGAGACAGATTATATCGTATATATGTACTACTTACTTTGTTAGCTCAAAAAGAGAGAGAGGAGAGAGAGAGAGAGAAGAGAGAGAGAGAGAGAGAGAGAGAGAGAGAAGTCTGATACGTCGGTAGTTGGAATTTCATTCGTTCTTCATTAGACAATACGAAATATATAGAATAAATTTAAATTAAACGTCAAAGAAGAGTTACGGTATTATATCTGCGTGTCGTCGATACAATGTAACGAGATTAAAATCACGCGCTTACACATTTACATATCGTACATACACATATACGTGAATAAAATTTGAATGAGGAACGAAAATATTTCAAAGTTGTTTTATACGATGGCCTACTTATAAGGAAATTTTCGTCTGGCACCTGCTAGAAAGCTGAAGCGTACTTTTGTTTCTTTGTCTTTTTCTTTTTTTTTTTCTTTTTTTTCTTTCTTTTTTTCGGCGGGGGGGATGGGGGGAGGGGGCGGAGTACCTCAACTCGGAAGTGTCTGTCTACTTTACGATGTCTCGCGAACATTGACTGAAATAAGAACGAAAGTCTCTTGACAATCTCGTATTGGCATATTGATGTATGTGTCTGTGTGTGTGTGTATGTGTGTGTGTGTGTGTGTGTGTGCGTGATTGTCTCTGTGTATGTATATGTACATTATGTATCGATGACATAAGACTGATGATCGATCAACCGTAACTCGATCGATCGAACATCTCAAACTTCTCCCTTCGATATTGAAATTATTATTATATATGCAATTTTCTTTTTCTATTTCATTTTCACATACAAAAATTTTTGATCGATTAGTTCTACGTATTAATCTTCAATTAAGTTTTTAATTCATTAATTATTAATTTTTAATTCAATGAAAACCTTTTAATTGATTTTTTCTTTTTTTTTCTTTTTTTCTTTTAAGGACACAATTAAAAATTTATAAGTCACTTTGGAAGAAGAAAAAAATAAAATATATGTATATATCATATATACGATTGTGTGTGTGTATGTGTGTATAAGTAAGTAAGTAAGTAAAAGATAAAAATTAATATTTAAAAAAAATTAAATAATAAAAAAGATATATGTTTCTCGTTAATAAATCATTAAAATTTGTTTAAGATGACAACAGTGTACGTCGTAACTTCGAAAAGATATAATAGGATGTTGAAGCGGACCCATTCTATTGTTTAAAGGCATCATGAGTCAGAGCTTATTGACCACTCATGTGGGCGTATTCCTGTCTATAAGTATATACAAAGCAAAATGACTTTCTTCGATGAAAGAAAATATATTCATAGATTTATATATGTATAAAAATCGAATGCTATACTTCTTCGTCCTTCGATTTGAAACGATCGTTATTACCTTTTTTACCGTAGATCCCAACGATTCCAATAACACACATCCGGCTTAATAGAAGAAAGGAATTAAAATTAGAACGTTTCTTGTCACGAAACTTTGTCATTTTTATCCGTAAATAATTGTATATCATAATTGAGATTTTTTTTTTTATAGTTTTTCTCTTTTTTTTTCTCCTTCCTTTTAATTTACCATTGACATTTATAAGCTTTGCACGATACCAATTGATACTCTTATTTGATTCATTAAGATTA